GGGGGCGTGGAGGAAACCACAAAGCACCTTAGATTGACCCCTACTGTCACAAAAAGGAAATATTCCTGCCCCTCCCTTTTACCTAGAGGAAAATTCCTGTTTTCCTGACAGATCCAAAACAACCTGGCTTCATTACCATCTGATTTATTTTAATGGCCTAACCCACAATTCTAGGATATATGAATATATAATAGAGGTGTGGCCACCTACATGTGGGGGGTCCTCTAAGAACTCTGTGTGGAGTGAAGGCTTTGGGGTGAGGTGTAGATGCATGCCATCGAAGCCATTGCTCTCTTCTCCATGCATGGCTCTCCCACGTGTGTGTATGGGCACCGACGTTGTGCAGGCTTTCTGGGCCTGCACGTCAGTACGTGAGTAAACCAAAAGTTCTTTTTTTTGAGAAACTTTCACAGCCTCGGGGAGAGTGTATGGCCTAGGGTGCAGCTACTTCTCAATCCAAGCTAGGTCTGCGAGAGAAGGTCAAGGCAAGAGGCTGCCAGAGGGATGGAGAAGAGGAAAACGCTGGGAGCGAATAGAGTTTGGCCCCGTCGACCCCACAGGGCCTGGTCCCATCAGACCCCAGCCAGGGGCAGTCACACCAGAATCGGGAGCCTTAAGAGGGGTCTGAGCTGCCAGGGGAAGGTAACTGCGCGCTTGGGGCCTGCCCTTGTCTCCAGCTCTGTTGCTGAGGCCCGGTAGTGGTGATTGTGTTGTCACCGGAGCCGAGCGTGGCTGAATTGCACACATCCCATGGCTTTTCCATTTTTCTTCCTGGATTTGCTGCGCCACTACCTTCCTCTAGTCTGGCTGGAGCCCAATTTGAGGGGGCTCCAAACGTGTTCTTTTCTGTTTCCCTCTGAAGAGGCCCAAGGTACATTCATGACACTGCCGATGCCTCCAGCCCCGGAGCGCTTCTAAGTGTAATATCAAGGACTAGATTCACCCTTCAGTCAGGAGGGGGAATGTGGCATTTCAGGGGCCCACAGGCCCTCCCTTCTCGCCCCCAAGGTGGAAAGACACATGGGCGCTTGTTCTTGGGGGGCCAGTGGCACTCAATGGGCCCCCCTGCCCTAGGCTTGCTGACTGTACTCAGGGCCTGGCTGTCCTCGAGACCTATCTGCTGAGCCTCTCTCTTCTGTCTGTCGCTCGAACCCGAGAGCTGGCTCTTTCCTGCCTCTTCGCCCTGGGACAGAAGCGTCTCCACCAGGGCATTGGGACGGGAAGATCGGGCTGTGGCTAGGCCATCGCCGGCGAAATCCGAGACCTTTTTTTCCTGCTTGGCAGGATCAACTTCTCGGCCCTCTGAAACGGCTGTGCGTTGGGATCCGCTTGGGGTCTCCGGCGGCCCGCGACCAGCAGCGTAACCCAGGAGGGCGGGTGTGGGAAATGAGAATGGCCTCAGCGCTGGATGGTAAGTTCCGTAGAAATCCCTGACGACCGCACTATCCTGAAAGATTTTTTTTTTTTTTTTTTTAAGGGTGGAGGGAGGATCAGCTGGCGGGGAGAGCCCGGTTCCCGAGATGATCAGATTTGAAGGGTATTCTGAAAAAGCTCCTCCGCTGTCAAAGTTACTGGCTGCCCTCGCCCAGCCCCTCTCCGTGGGTTCTCCAGAACAAGCGCCCCGAGCCGGCGAAGCTCAGATCAGCATCCACGCCGAAGCGAAGGCGAGCATTTGCTGCGTGCGGGCCCAGTCGGGATAAGTCTTCGCAGCGGGCGGTAAGCCGGGCGCCCCACGGCTGGCCTTTTGCTTTGAGCGAGCAAACGTCTTCTTCTCCGCCAGGTAGCACTGGAAGGAGGAAGCGATCTCTAGATTTCCAATTACAAGACCCTGGATAGTAACGGGGCGTCTTTGTTTGTTTCTTTCGTTTTGCCTTAGCCAGAGTTGATTGGAAATCGTACGACAGGAAAATAACCTGTGTGGCGAAATCCGGGCAGAACCAGGAAAGCTAATAGCATCTGGGAGCAGGAGCGAGATTATCAGAGGCGTTTTCTGGTGTCTTTGGACAGGTTGAGAGCCCCCGAAATCCAGATTGGTAATTTAAATGACTCTGAGCTTGCAGCATCTATGAGACCTATCAGATTTGGAAGGAAAAGATACGGATTTGGGACTTGCAGGAGTTTGGACCGGCACAGATCAGACCTCGACTTCCAGCTCTCCTCCCTCCCCCACGAAGAACCCGTGGGGGACCGGGAAGCCAGGGGTTAAAGTGGGCCCTGGAGCATCCCCGGGACTACCGGCGCGGAGCCTTGGCCCGAGCCTCAGTCTCTCCCCTCCTCTCATTGGCCCGCGCTCTCAGGGTTTCTCCTGTTCCCTCCTCGCCATTGGTCGGGGGCTGGCTTTTTTTCCCCTCAGTCTTTCTCTTCCTCCCCCTCCCTCTCCCTCGCCCCTCGGACAGGAGCGCACCGCCTGCCCCCAGCTCCTCGGGAAGGGAGGAATTTAGAAAAAAAGTTTCCCAGGAGTTTGGATCAGAGGGAGGACGGGAAGACCAAGAGAGGAAGAGGGAGAGGGAGGAGAGAGAGGGAGAGAGAGAGAGAGAGAGAGAGAGAGAGAGAGAGAGAGAATAAAAAAAAGATGAAGTCCAGTCTGCACAGCCTGTGAGCGCCTGCCCGGGTAGGGTGGGAAGCGGGACTCGGGCGCTCATGCTGCGAGCGGGCGGCGCTCCGGGCGCTCGTTCCTAGCGGCTGGGGCAGCTAGGGGCGCCGGTCCGACCCGGCGGGGTGGGGGGGGGGAGGACTGAGGGTGCAGGGACCCACCAGAGACCGCCGCCTCAGTCTCGGCCGCCGCGCCGCCGCCTCTCCCGGGCCCGGCCCGTGAGCCACTCGGGCGTGAGGGCAGGCTGCTCCCTCAGTAGCGGGGGCGAGCGGAGGCCGGGGTTGGCTGACTAAGATGAGTGAAAGGAGAAGATCTGCAGTCGCCCTGAGCTCGCGAGCACATGCCTTCTCCGTTGAAGCCTTGATCGGCTCAAATAAAAAGCGGAAACTGCGAGACTGGGAGGGAGGGGTTTGTGTCCATGGGGCTGAGCCCCTTGGTCATTCACTCGGAGACGCGGAGGACGCGGCCGCGCACGGCCTGGAGCCTCACCCGGGTGAGTGCGCAGGACCGGACCGAGGGAGGCGGGCGGAGAGCGGACGCCGGGCGGCCGGCGGGCGGGCGGAGCGGTGTGGAGGGAGGCCCTGCTCGCTGACGCCCTGCCTTGCTCCAACGCGGGTTTCCTTTTCTTCGCGCAAACGCCTTGAGCCTTCCCCAAATTCGCCGCAATTTGAGGGAACTGAGCCTTGCATTTTCGTCGCCAACCTCAAGCAAGGAGGCCTCACTCGCATCCCTTTCTCTTCTGGGAGCGGAGCGCAGTGTTCTGGTGTGCGCGGCTGAGCGGCCGCAGGCCCTTGGGGTTAAGGAGGGGCGCAGATCGAAGGCGACGGCGGGAGCGGAGAGGGGCTGGGACTGTCTTTTGAGAGCCCCAGAGGACTGGCGCGGAGCTGTCGGGCTCCATACCCAGTCTCGGGAAATGCCCGGTTTGCCCCATTTAGCTTTCGACCTCGGTCCTCGCCCTTCCCCCACCAACTTTCCTGGGACTCAAGTTGTTGTGTTTCCCCTACCCCGGCGACAACGGAGCATAATTATATTTCTACTTCGTTGGCGTTTATGGAAAGAGAATGTCTGTTAGACCTCTCAGCCTGCGCCCTGGGCCACTCTTCAGGGCCCACACCTCTGTGTATTGCGGGGAGAGCGGTGCGATTAATTTCTGTGCCCATTATATGTACACAACACGTAAAACTCAGAGCGGATGTCGGTGTCTGTATTTTAGCAGAAACCTGGGCGGGTGGTTGAGGGGGGAGACAACTTAAAGTTCTGTATTAAGTGCCAAGATTTCAACTGTGCAAAACAGCCCCGGGGAACAGCTGTTGTCGGAAGAATCTTGCGCGCGCGCGCGCACACACACACACACACACACACGCACACGCACACACACACACACACACACACACACCCGCTCGCAGCTTGGGTTTAGCGGTTTCAGAAACTTTCCAGCCAGGACTTATGTAGCCATTCTGGAGGTGCTCCTGCTGACCAGCTAGGGCTGGGGAGTAAACCTGGGTCAGCGCGCCGGAAAGCGGAAAGCCAGGGTGGGGGCGGCGGCCCGCAAAGGGATGGGGGTGGCCACGGGTCGAAGAGCTCTGGGACGGAGCTTGGGGCCCAGGGGCTTGGGGGCTGGAAAGCTGGCCGACCCAAGGAGGGACAGCTGTCGCTTACATTTTCTCTTTCGGCAGTGACAGTTCAATTTCCATGCTCCTGAGGCTAATAATAACGCGATTAGCGTGTGACTTGCAGAGACAGGGTTTTATGAATTCTCCGTGTTCTTGTGGCCCGTTACGGTATTTGAGTTTAGTGCTGGGGAATTATTTTTATTAGTCGATGAAAAGAAAATTAAAAGGGAGATTTATTTCGTCCGCTCAAGTCTTTCCCTGTATTTGGATGCGGGTGCTTGCCCACGAGGACCCCTGTGTGGGCAATCCAGAAAAGAACGCGTGGCTAATGTGTGTTTCCCATCTCTGGCCAGACCCTACTTCCTCACCGCATTTATATGTTGTCAAAATCTCACTCGGGCCTTCGCACAGTTTAGTGGAAGTTCTTTCAGGCTTCATGACAATTCACGATTTGGGAGGTTAGTTTGTTTTACTTTCCCGACGGTGGGAAGGCAGAAGTTACTTAACTGCGTGTGGCAGACGCCTTGTCCACGGGACTTTTCTTTAAGGAGGGGGGCCAGGTCAGCCGGAGCTGATCTTGGGTCGCACGTTCCAAAGGACCAGCACGTGGGGTCATAATCAGAGGCTCAACTCGCAGTTTTCTCTTATCGCCGTTCTTTTCAGCCATAGTGAGGAGAGAAAAGGTTGGAGCAAGGTGAGACCAGTCCGGAGACATAAACGCGAGGGCCTGTTGTCCAGAATGCGGTTCCCTCGCTCCCACAGTATGGGGGCCAGAGGGTGAGGACCTAATCTAGAACTTTGTGGCACACAGAGCTCAGCTGACCGTTTTCCTTTCCTGTATCATTCTTTTTTAAAAGAAAAAAAAATGTGCTTTTGTATTAGAGAAAACGAAATACGTTTGTGGGGCTACGGTCTGGGAGGAAGGAAGAAGCTGAAAGCGGAGAGCACTCCCGGGCCTTATGCGGGGCCGGCTACCAACCGGGCCTCGCTGCGAGGTGCGCCGAGGGGATCTCCAAGTTGGAGCCCCTTTAGTGGCCAAAGCTTTCTGACGAACCGGACGTACGAAGAGAAAAAAGATCTTTCAGAAAAACTGCGCGGTATCGTGGAGCCTAGGCAGCCCCCGGAGTGGAGGAGGCGGAGCTGCAGGCTCTGGGCCCGGATGGTGGTGGAAGGCAAGGCCAGGGCTTGGGGTCCCCTGTAGGCCTTTCTTTCTTTTTCCTCTAATAGAGCGCCCTAACGAACACATACAGACTGGGCCACCGTTAAGGTGTGTGTATGGTGGTGGAGGTGGGAGGGGGCACAGGCGACTCCGTTTGTGCCCAGGGCCGTGTCTATGCCGGTCTTAGCCTCCAACTGTTTAAACTCTCTTCCCGGATTAGGACAGAGAGCAGGCTGGACCCGCTGCGTGGCTCAACTGCGCTAGGCCGGTGATAAGTCAGGAACCGGGATAAAAACGACAACAACAAAACCAAAATTGCCACGGAGCTTGGGGAAGGATTAAACAAACAGGCAAACATACACAGGACACCCGCCTAGAGCAACTCTATTTATCATTTTCCCCCTCCTCCTCCCCCCCCCCGCCCCCCTGACTGGGACCTCCGTTTCCAGCCTTCTCTGTCCGTGCCTGTAAATCCAAGGATCCTCAGACAACCCAAGGGTCAGATTTTAATGTTTAACTTTTATTCAAAGACGTGGCCTTTTGCTTTTTCACAGCCCGTTTTTCTTTTCGCGTCCGGACAGAGCTGGCTTTAGTTGGCGCCGAGCGCCCCGCAGCCTGGGGCGCCAACCTGCAGCAGCGGGGGACCAGCCCGGCCTGCGCGCCGTGGGCGCTCACACATCAGAGGACACACAGTATGTATTTCAAACGTTTCCACCGAGTCTGCTGGTCCTGAAAGACCCTGAGGCCCTAAGGGCCTTGGAGAAGGGCCTGTGAGATGCCCTCATTATTGCCAGAACTCCGCGTCTTTGGAGAAGCCGCCAGGACGCAGCCGCCGCGGGCTCGGGAGGGTCTCCCAGGAGCCTGACTCTCCGGCCTGCTTGCCTCCGCCTCTCACCGAGCAGCAACAGGGAAAACTTTTAAGCCAGGATCGCCCGGAACAGCTGCTCCGGCTGCGGCCTTAGAAGTATATTTCAGGCACGCGGCGGCGCCATCTGCGCTCGGACCCCAGCCCCGGCTCCACCCGGCTTCCCCAGCTCGAGTTTGGGCCTTTTCCCGCCCAAATCCACAGCCGAGTGCTGCCGAGGTCCGGTCTCCCGCGGAGCGAAATAATTCAAACCTTCTGCGAAAGGATTTCCCCCTTCAGGGCCTGCGGCCCTATGCCTTGCAGCCGTGGCGCTCCAGAGGCCTAAGAAGGTGGCGGAGTACGCGGGTGGGCACACAGAGCAGGCACACTCAAGAACGTGCGTGCAGAGCCGCACTCCGCGCGCACGTGCACATGCATCAGGCTCGCGGGGTCCCTGCACCCATCTACGCAATCCCTAGAGGAATGAGACGGGAACAGCCCGGGCGGTGCCCCAGGGCCCTTTCTTCTTCCGAATTACCGAGATCAGCTGTTCACGCGAATTAAGCTGCCAGTTTATGGCTTGTTTGCTCAGAGTAAAACTCCCAAGATTTTAATCCTGACATCACCCCTCCACCCACCCCCAATCCCCAATAGGGAAACACAGGGTCAAAACGGAGGAAGTGACTCTTCACTGACGTTTAAGTAATGGAGAAAACGCGATGCGTTTGAAGCCAGTGGGGAGAGTATGCTTGTGCTGGGCAAGAACCAGACAGGGCGCACGCCGGGGCTTGGACCGCAGGGCAAGGGTGTGGGGTGCGCCGGGCCGGACGCCAAAGCGTATGCCTGAGGTAGAGTCCGGGGCGAGGAACACTGGTTCCTCAGCGGTGCGTTCGCCCCATCGCCGGTGCAGGCCTCAAAGATGCCAGGCCTGGGCCCGGAGGATGAGCCAAGCGTGGTGCCTGCTGGACATGCGCAACGCTCTCTCCTGCCAAGTCAAAACGGCCTTCCGCGGTGGCCGCGCCTTTGGTGAGTGACCTTGCGTGAACGGGAGTGAGGGGGTAGGCGAGATCTGAATTCGTCCCAGGCTGGTGAGGACGGGTGTGTTCGAGGAGGGCCGCCGACGCCCTTTGGTCGAGCTGCTCGGACGCTGGCTAGGTCGCGGGGCTGGGAGAGCGCGCTGCACGGGCTCGCGGGAGGTGGGCAGGGTTCTGGAGGGTTCTGTGTAAAACACCAGCCCTGGTGCAGTGGCACAACAGAGCCCCCCACCCTCACCCCCACCCCCAGGAAGAAGGAAACAGTTCTAACCCCCAGCATTCCGTGGATGGAACAAACTGCTGGAGGGCAGTGGGGAGGACGAGGAATGGGGGAAACACCCTAATGCCCAGCGTTTGGAATGTGATGGAAGGGGGGCAGACGGAGTGTGCTGTGCTTTGCACCCCCCGCCAGGTCGACCGGTGTCCCCTGAGCGCTTCACCGGTCCTTGTGATGAGGGTAACAGGCAAGTGCGGGGGAACGGTCTCTCGAGGACGGGCGGTGCGGGACCCCTCGCCCGGCCCCGCCGCCCACCTCGCCGCTCGGAGACTGGTACGCCGCAAGCGTAACGCCGGGAGCAGGCTTTTCTGGACGTGACAGATCAGCTCACAGCCTAGGGGTGCAGCGCTTCTGAATTCGTGTCTTCCTTCCACGCCCCACCCAACGCTGTTTCTTATCGAACATTTTTCTTTGGGTTCAGAGCTGGACACTTTTAGGTTTCCTGATTTTATAGGTTAAACTCCCGGAAAGGAAAGTTCGCGGGGTGACGTTCATGCAGGGGGAAGGGGGAATTAAATTTCTAATAATGGAATTCGTATTGCAATTATATTGACACATAGCCGCTA